ATGGATTTCTTTTTAACATTTTTTTAGTTGTCCACGGACCTTTAAGTTATTTATTCATATGCCGTGCTGGGAATCGAACCCAATACCTCACACATGCTAGGCATCTTCCCCTGGGCCACAACCCCAGCCCCAATATGGATCTTTTCAAATCCCCACTTTATATTATCTCATTCACCCAGGACGAGAGTGTCAATTTAGAGAGAATCCTTCTAATAAAAGTTCAAACTATTAAGAATTTTTTAAAAAATATTTTACCATAGCATTTAAAAAATACATGCTGAGATATTAAAAAGTAAAAAGGGAGGGGGAAGTAGTGGTTTAAAACAACTACAGTTGCCAAGTGCAGTGGAATATACCTGTAATCCCAGCAGCTCAGGAGGCTGAGGCAGGAGGATCACAAGTTCAAGGCCAGCCTCAGCAACTTAGTGAGACCCCAAGCAACTTAGCAAGACCCTGTCTCTAAATAAAAAATTAAAAGGGCTCAGCATGTGGCTCAGTGGTTGAGCACCTCTGAGTTCAATCCCTGATACCAAAACAAACAATAACAAAACAACCAAGCATACTATAATTAACCACTTCTCACAGTTTTGTGGGTCTCCTGAGCAGCTCCTCCACTCCCTGCCTGGGGCCCTTCTCATGCAACAAGGTCCCTCGCACACCTGGCAGTTGGCACAGTAGGTGGGGGCCTGAGGTTCTCCTGCACGTTCCTGTTGACCTTAGAAACCTGGAAAGGCCTCTAATATGATAGACGCAGGACCATGCTCCAAGTCTCAAGGCTTGGACTCCAGAGCCAGATGACATCCTTTCCCCCCTACGTTCTACTGCACAAAGTCCCAAGTTCAGCCCAGACTTATGGGGTGGGAATTAGACCCCACCTTCAGGAGCTCTAAGAATTGGCCATATTTAATCTACCAAGCGCGCCCCACCGGGATACACAGGAACAAACACACCCCTGCAGGCCCCGTCCGCGGCTCTCTAACACCACGGACTCCCTGAGCAGATCCAGCATCAGAATTTCTACATCAAAGGAGCATGAGAGCAGTTCAGTTGGAAGAGGGTTGGTTAATAGACTTATTTTCAAACTGATTAGGAAACACAATTTTCTTTTACTGAGATATGTTTATGTGCAGCAGATTTGCCTTATTTTGAGGTGTCAGTTCTAGGCTGTCACATGATAAGCGTATGCTTCACCTCCTAGGAGACCACCAAACTGCTGTCCAGAGTGACCGCACCATTTGACATTCCCACCAGCAACGTGTGGGACTTTCTCCAAAGCCTCGCCAGCACTTAGTTTTGACAGTATTTTTAAATTGTAGCCATTCTAATAAGTGTGGAGTGTCTCTTTGTCAAGGTTTGAATTTGCATTTTCCTAATGAACTCCAGGGATGAGCATCATCATTTGATGTGCTAATTTGGCATTTATAGATTTTACTGTGTTTTGAACGTGCCCCAGCCCCCAAAGTCCACAGGTTGGAAACTTAATCCCCAATACAACAGTATTGAAAGGCAGGACTTTTCAACAGCTGTTAGATCCCAAGGGGCAGAGACCTCACAAATGAATGAATGAATTATCGTTGAAGTGGGTTTGTTTGTTTATTTGTGTGGTTTGGTTCTGGGGATTGAACCCAGGGACACTTAACCACTGAGCCCCATTCCAACCATTTTTTGTTCTTTGAGTCAGGGTCTCACTAAGTTGCTTAGGGTCTCTCTATGTTGCTGAGGCTGGCTTTGAATTTGTGATCCTCCTGCCTCAGCCTCCCCAGCCTGGAATGGGTTTGTTATCAACGTGAGCTCCACACCCTCTTGATGGCTCTTGCCCTCTCACATATGCCACCGGGGGCTGGTAAGAACCCCTCACAAATATGACACCATGCTCTCTGACTTCACATCCTCCAGAACCATGAGCCAAAGAATTTACGTTCCTTACAGTTGACCCAGTCTCAGCTCTCCTGGGATCCAGCATCAGAGGACTGAGAGACATATTCTTCAGTGAAATTTCTGTTGAACATTTTTCTACTTTTTCAAGTGGGTGCTTTGTTTTTTTGTTGAGTTTTGAGAATCCTTCCTATACACTTGACACCAAGCTTTCTCAGCTGTATATTTTGCAAATATTTTTTTCTCTCATCAGTAGCTTGTCCATTTGTTCTCTTAAGTATCTTTCACGGAGCAGGAGCAGTGAAGACCAATTTATCACCATATTGTTTTCCCCAGAAGGGGCTTTTGTGGTGGTATCTAAGACATCTTTGCATAAAGATTTTCTCCTTTTCTCCTTGGAGTTTTATAGCTTTTAGTTGTACATACAAGTCTATGATCCTTTGTGAGATTTTTTGATATAAACTGTGAAATGTGGGTTGAGGTGTATGTTCCACACAGATGTTCGATTGTCCTAGGATCATTTGTTGACAAAAGGACTTCAGGACACATTTCCCTGAATTGGTTGTTTGTGGAAGGTTAGGGGGAAAGAGAGAAATGATTGACAGGTAGGGCGACATGCCCTCACGTTTCCACCTGGGCACGGAGCCTTGGAATTCCACCTGACCCAGGGCCGTGGACAGTCGGGCTGTGTTCCAGAGGCAAGCTGTCCCGTGAACCTTGCCAGATGTGGTTACTGTTTGACACTTTGGGAGAGAATACGATTTTTTTTTGTGTGTGTGCTGGGGATGGAACCCAGGGCCTCACACCTGCCAGGCAAGTGCTCTGTCCCTGAGCCACACCCCCAGGGATGGACTCCGAGGGATGGACACAGCCCATTCTGGCTCATGGGTAGAAGCCACTGATAGCCTCAGACACCCAGAGAAACCTGGTGGAATGTCAAAGCATGTCTCTGGGGACAGAAAGGGACAGGCCTGGAGGCTTCTCCTAGGGGTGTCCTGAAATGAGCTGTTGTTGCCGAGGCCCCTGCACACAGAGGAGGAGCCGGACACTCCTGCAAGCCTCCTTGCAGGCTCTAGCTGTCCCCTGCACTGCACCCGCTATCCCTCTGGGGTGGACCAATGACCACATGGCTTCTGTCCTAGCATCTGTAGCCCCAGGCATAAGACCAAGCAAGTGGCCCAGGCTGCAATCCTCAGCTCTGTTGGGGATGGCAGAAAACTGGACACAGCCTGAGGGCCCACGATTGAGTGAATGCGTCCTGGGCCGAATGCGTCCGTAGCTGGGTAAGGGTGATGCAGAGATCCCCTGGGGTCTGGAGAGGGCTTGCGAACACCTGCTGGCGAGAAGCCAGGGTACAGCCAGTGCTCATGAACCATGGAAGCATTTTTTAACTACTGGATTTTTATGTAAGAATACATACTTCTGCAGGGTGCAGTGACACATGCCTGTAGCCCCAGCAGCATGGGAGGCTGAGGCCGGAGGATGGAAAGTTCGAAGCCAGCCTCAGCAACTTAGGGAGGCCCTAAGCAACTCAGTGAGACCCTGTCTCAAAACAAGTGGCAGGGGGTGGGGAGGGGGGTGGCACTCAGGATGTGGCTCGATGGTTAAGTCCCCTGGGTTAAATCCCCAGTACTACAAAAAATAAAAAAGGAAATATATCTATCTTCTTGTTTATCTTAACACCTGGGTCATCAGTTCCTTCTGTAACCAGCTCATAATCCCCACAGCTATAGTGTCAGGGTCTTATTTTAACCAAAACCCCGCTTTCCTCTCTTTGGACTTTTCTTGGGTCCCCAGTCAAGGAGCCAGGATGGAGAGGGATGGTTGAGGGGCTCCCGGGGTAGGTTGGGGGACCACTCCTCTCCAGGGCAGGTGGGGGCCCTTCTACAGGTGGCCTGCCTCTGTGCCTGGTCTGGCGGGGTGGGGTACCACAGCCCCCTCCCACTCCCCAGCTCCTCCCATCACCAAGGACACTTACCTGTAATGACTCCAAAGGAACCGGAGGGTTTGAGGTTCTTATGAGTCACAGTTCCCTCTACTAAAATGATATTTGGGGTGGAAGGCACTGTTCAAACCAAGACACCCAGAAATGCTCCGTAAAAGGAGAGGTGGCCTAGAGCTTTGTCCACTGGGCAGCCATCTCTGACATATCAGGCCTGGAGAAATATTCTGTGCCCCTGCGCAATGATAGGGCAACTGAAACCCCTCTGCCCAGGTGAGCCCTCCAGGGCGGGAAACAGGGTGCTAATCTCCCATCCCATCCATGCCCAGGCCTTAGGCAGAGTGGGTGCTCCACCTCACCCGGGCACCACCAGAGCTATGCGCAGGCCCCAAGGAAGTGAGTAGAGGGAGACACCTAGGTGGACGGGCTCAAGGGGGAGTGTTCAAAAAGTGCAGCGACTCAGTGTCCTGGCTCTGATCAACCCTTAGTTGCTGAAATAGAAGATGGAAGGGGGGAGGTTCTGGAAGAGGAGTTGAAGGGGACACCCAAGGAGCATGGGATGGAGGCAGCTTTCCACCCTGGGTGGGGACACTTGGAGATCTTAACAACTGACATGTCTTCATGTCTTCCATGGATGATAGATGGATGGATGTGTAGAAAGAAAAAGAGGATGGATGGATGGATGGATGGATGGATGGATGGATGGATGGATGGACAAATGTGTGGATGGGTGGATGGGTGGGTGGATGGACGGACAAATGTGTGGATGGGTGGGTGGCTGGATGTATGTGCAAATGTATGGATAGATGTGTGGCTGGCTGGATGTGTGGTTGGGTGGATGGATGGATAGATGGATGGATGGACAGATGGACAGATGGACAGATGGAAGGATCTATGGATGGATGGATGTGTGGATGGTTGGTTGGATGAGTGGACAGATGGATGGGTGATGGGAGAGAGGAAGGAAGTGGATGGATGATGGTGGATGAGTGAGAGGGACAGCTGAGGGGTGGACATGTGGAGTGGTGGGAGCCAGGCAGGCAGAAGATGGCGGACGGAGAGGAAAGATACAAGGCAGAAGGAGGCCAGGGCAGGTGGGAGGACGAGGGAAGGGCATTTGCACAGGTGGTGGAGAAAGGCCATCTGCAGTGCCGGCCTGGCCCTCAGCTCTGGATGCCTGCAGGTAGCTTCCTGGTCCCCTACCTCATCATGCTCTTCGTGGAGGGAATGCCACTCTTGTACATGGAGCTGGCCGTGGGGCAGCGCATGCGGCAGGGCAGCATCGGTGCCTGGAGGACCATCAGCCCCTACCTCAGCGGTGTCGGTAGGTGAGGCCCTCTCCGGTCCCCTTCCACCTTTCAGTCCCCTGGGAGCACAGGGGTGGGGTGGGAATCCATCAGCAAGCATGAGGCCCCAGAGAAAGCCCTTGACCGGAGGGACCGACAGCCAGGAGGGGCTGAGAGGGGCTGGGATTCTGACCCACAGGGCAGCACCCTGGGAAACGTGGCTTCTCCTTTCTGGGCCTCAGCTTGGAAATATGTACAAGGGAAGCAGCTGCCCAGCACAGGGGCTCTAACTCCAGCCCAGCCAGCAACCATTCAGAAAATGCACATAACTGCTCCCTGCTAATTAACAGCTCTCTCTTACTGAGCACCTACTTTGTGCTGGGTGCTGCCTACCAGATACAAGCTCTTGAGCTTATTTAACCTTCATTGCACCCCTGAGAGGTTGCTGGAGGAGGTGCCATTAACGTTTGCAACTGAGACACACATGGAGAGCAAGGCTGCAGCTTCAAACCACGTCTTTCCCCAATTGCCTGAGCTGGTATCCCCAGCACCTGCTCTGCACAACCCAGGAAAGCAGGGTGACTCCTGGCAGAAGTGAGGAGGGAGTCAGCTTGACAGGACCTGATCTCAGACCCAGAAGAGCCACATGTCCAGTGGCCTCTTAAGTCATCTCCAGACCCTAAACGCCTCCTCACCTTGAAAGGCTGTTCATTTTTAACACAGCAGTCACAGAGGCAGCGTGAGCTCTGTCACAGGAAAGACGGTCACTGTGCATGCCACTCTGGGGTGCTGGAACCAGTTGAGCACCCAGCACCCCAAGGGTAGCCGGAGGTGGGGATCGCTGCCCTGCAGCTTGCTGATACTGGCAGCTTGAATGTCCTCACCACGGCCCGCGCCAGTCTCCCTGAGAGCCCTCCCAGGTGTGGGATGGAAAGAGTGGGGGACAGAGCTCAGGGCACCCCTGGTGGCCCACCTTCCCTGGCTCACAACCCCACCCTGAGCTCTGCAGTCCTGACCAGACCCAGGCAGCCCATTCCCACCACTCTCTACCCCACCCCTCATGTCCCTGTTCCCTAATGCCAGAGGGCAGGGTCTGACCCCTAGGACTCAACCTTCAGTGAGCCAAAGAGGCAGCTGTGGTCACACCGGGCCTGGGGCTGGTGCTTGCCGGTGACAAAGAGCTTCTCACATGAGGCGGAAATCTGACCTCTGCCACTTGCCAGCTGGGCAGTCTTGGGCACACCTTGTGCCTCAGTTTCCTTCTCTGTGAAATGGGGGCAATGCCGTGGCGAGGACCAAACACATCTGAGGACTGTAGCCTGGTACCTGGCACAGCCGTCCCAACAACAAAAACCAAGACCTGTGCTTGGCCTCATGTTCCAGAAGATGGTGGGGCGGGTGGGGGGAAAAGAAAGAACTCTCCCGAAGGTCACAGTGGTCACACAGACTCCACGGAGGGAGGTTTGCCTGTTGCAGGGAGTCACCACGGGTGTGTCCTGGGAGCATGCTCTGGACAGGGCCACGGTGTCTAGCCCTCCTCAGTGCCGCCCTTGCTTCTTGGCAGGCATCGCCAGCGTGGTGGTCTCCTTCTTCGGGACCATCTACTACAACGTCATCAACGCCTGGAGCTTCTGGTACCTCTTCCACTCCTTCCAGGTGAGCAGGGTGGGAAAGGGGGTGGATGTAAGCCTCCCACCTCGGGTGGTGGGTGGAGGATGCCAGTCTCTGGGGAGCCAGAGGGTGACAGGAGGGCCGGAGGGAAGCCGAGCCTCCCCATCCAGAGGGAAGGAGGGCTTCTGCCCCAGGACCTTGGCCCCGGACTGGCACCATGAGCTGGCTTGTGCAGATGGATGAGCTCTTGCCTGTTTCTGGGACTGAGGTCTACAGTTATCCTTTGATTCTCTCTGAAGGATGTGACCCCAAATATATTAAGGACCTTTTTTTTTTCTTGGGGTGTGGGGGAGGGATCTGGGATTGAACTCAGGGACACTGGACCCCTGAGCCCCATCCCCAGTCCTATTTTGTATTTTATTTAGAGACAGGGTCTCACTGAGTTGCTTAGGGCCTTGCCATTGCTGAGGCTGGCTTTGAACTCGCGATCCTCCTGCCTCGGCCTCTTGAGCTGCTGGGATGACAGGAGTGCACCACTGCATCCAGGAAAAAGCCTGTGGCAAGTGGGGACTGTTTTCAGCATCCCAGCGAGTCTGTAGGGACTGTCCCTCCTCTGCTTCTGGCCCCTCCTTTACCTTTCTACCATGGCCACTTAGCCTTTCAGATTTGGAGCTCAGGGCTGAGCCTCTCCTTTTTCCGGAAGAGCCCAAATTCCTCCCAGAAAGGCCAAGGTCACCCTTTAACACAAAAGAGGCTCTTCTCAAAGACTAAACAGTGTCCCGACCATCCACGGAGCTCACGCTCATTGCACAAGATGCAGAGAGGGCTAGACGTTGTGGGGCAAAAGAGAGAACCCCAGCCCAGCCCAGACCACCCCCAACCACTGCTCACCAGCTCTCGTCCTCAGCTCCAGCCTGGTCACTCTCAGGGACCCCTCTGCCTGCTGCCCCATCCCCCTTCCAGCAGCCTCTCCCCAGATGGGAAAGAGGAGGAGGCAGGACCAGCCTGGCCTCCCCGTTGGCCTCTGAGCCTGACCTTCATGCTTCAGATGTTCTCCCCTGGCCCCAAAGCCAGGCAGGTCTGGCCATCGGCTGTCAACTGTCCCCAGTCTGTGAGGCTTCCTGGGTCCTTGAGAATCCTTGTCCTTGAGTCTCTGGGGCCCCCAGGAATACCTGGGTGAGTTATTCTAAAAGTCCTGACTTGACATCTCCCCTGGGAAGGTGGCATCTCCACCTTACTGTGGCCTCCCAAGGAGCCCCCTCCCCCAAGGCTGCCCCATCACACACTCCCAGATGGGGAGGACCCTGCCCTGAGTTTAGCCAAAGCACCACATTCTTTCCCTGGCTTCAGCTAGAGTTCCTTGAAGACTGACTACAACTCTGCCTCTCCCCAGACTTCTAAGGGGACATAGGGCAGCTCTTTTTACTCTAAATGCTAGGGCCTACCTGCCCTCCTCTGTGCAGAGCTGCCACATATGGTTGGGCAGGTTGTACACTGCACAGTGGCACGCTGAAAGAGGTGTCGGCATTATCGCAGGCATTCTAGATGTGTATCCTTTCGCTGTCGTGGCGATGGGGTCTAGCTGTGTTGTGCGGGCTGGTCTCAAACACGTGGCCCAGGGATCTCCCACCTCAGCCTCCTGAGTAGCTGGGACTACAGGTAGGCACCAACTTTGTCTGGCTTCGATGTCTATGCCCGTGAAGACAAGTCTCCAAAGGTGGGAGCCATGTGTCTTGTCTAATAAGGTCAGAAACGATTCACTCATCTTCCAAAGGTGAAAATAAAGTCTACCCCAAAGGGGTCCCTATTTTTAGTCCTCAGAACTGGGGGCGGGCAGTGATTCCAGATAGTCACCTGAATGTTCATGCACCCCATCCTTCACAGGTCATTCATTGGGCCTCCCCCAGTCCCTCTCCCCTGGAGCCCTCCCCCACGGTCACATGAGAGCGGCAGCAAGGGTGCGGGAGGCGCTCACTGGCTTCCAGTCCCATGGTGACAGGTTACTTGCTGCTCAGGGGCCCTCAGCCTCAGGCTGTTACCAATGGGATCAGAATCCTGCTGGGGACAGGGCAGCGGGGCCGCCCTTGCTCCACTGGCTCTGAAGCTTCTTCGCCCTGGTCGCACACGGACACTGGCCGGAGCTTTCAAACACCTGATGCCCGGACCCCACCCCACACAGATGCCACCAGAGCCTCGGTGGTGCACCTGGGCGTCTTCCCCCGAGGGATCTAGTCCTCCAGGAAGAGTTGGAAACCTGGAGGCTGGAGTGATCTCAGCAGAGGGGTCAGTGGATGGACCCAGTCAGTCCCACATGGCCCAGTAAATGGCCCTGGAGACGCTGGCTGGGGAGGGCCAACTGGGATTCCTGTCTAAAGGGCCTCTCTCACCTGGGAAGGACCCAGTGCTGTCACTGGGCACCTGAGTTCCTCTCGGTGGCCTCTCTGTCCATGTGGCCTCATCCTTCCAGAGTCTTGCTGACCATCTTCACGAGACAGCTGGCTTCCGAGATGATGGACAGGCAGCTAAAGGCCCCGAAGGCCTCCACCGGAAGTCACCCTCATTGTCTGCCCCGAACTCTGTTGGTCACAGAAAGCCCCAGGCCTACCCAGACTCCCAGGGTGGGGCAGGAGATGCCACTGTCCTCGGGGGAAGCTGCTCCTAGTGCAGAGAGGGAGGGTGGCTCTGGGGCCAGGGTGTCCCCCGCCCAGGGCCTGAGCACTAATGAGGGTGTAAACCTGGGCTCCAGCCCTTGCTGCAGAGTAGCCACGACCTGTCAGGCAACACCACTGGGCCCTGGTGGTGGGGACTGTGAACTATCAAGGGAGTAAGCCTAACGCGAAGGTCAGACTCACTCCTGTTAGAGGAACGTTTCTGTCTGAACTGAGGAATGTGAGCCTATGGAACCCCAGAGTCACCCCAGACTGATCAACACGGGACGGCTCTTGGCAGAGCAGGGCCGCTGTCTGGACTGCCCACCAAGGGTGCTCAGAGTTAAGGTTTTTCCTCCTTCCCTGCCTGTTAGTCAGGGTTCTCCAGAGGAACAGAACCAACAGGAGGGATGGTTCCATAAAGGGGTATGATTATTAGACTGGCTCACACAACCAGAGCTGGACTGTCCACCGTGGCTGACTGCAGGCTGGAGAGCTGGAGGGGCCAGTCGCTGGGCAGTCCAAGAGCTGAAGCCTCAGAACAAGAGGGATCAGCAATGCTACCCTAGTCTGGGACCAAAGGCTTCTGGAAACCCCCTGGAGAATCACAGGCAGAGTCCACCTGGAACCAGTGAAGGAGCTGGAGTCTGATGTCCTCAGGGGATCGCAGCCTGCCTCCGCTGCTGCTCCCAGTTCTTCCCAATTCTTTTATTCCATCCAAAACATCCTCATCTGTTATTTTTATAATTTCCTTTTAATTAATTAATTAATTTTTAGTTGTATCTGGGCACAATAGCTTTATTTTATTTATTTTTTATGTGGTGCTGAGGATCCAACCCAGGGCCTTGATCTTGCCAGGTGAGCGCTCCACCGATGAGCCACAGCCCCAACCCCAAAGCCCTCATCTTATTGGATGGTGCTGCCCGTGCTTGGGGAGGGTCTCCACTTCAGTTGGCTATCCCACATGCCAGTCACTCCTAGACACACCCTCACTGACACACCCAGAAGCCTCTTAATCCTTGGTATCTCTTAATCCAATCAAGTTGACAATTCAAGTTGACCTTTACACTGCCATTCGGTATCTCTGTTTTGCACTTGGCCTTGGATCTTGCTCATTGTACAGGCACCATTTAGCCTCCTTTGCTCATAAATGCTGCAGAATCCAGTGCAAACCAGCTTAAGCAGAAGAGATCTTACTGACTCCTCCCTACAAAGTCCAGGAGTCTAAGTGCTTCAGGTGTAGCTGACTGGAGCTCAAAGGAAGTCACTCTAAGGGGTTCTCTGGTCCTAGGGGTATGATGGCCTCAGGGTGGTGAACCTCATCCCCCTCTGGCTTCCAGATCCAATGTCCATGGAAGGAAATGCCAGTCTCCCCCAGCAGATGTACCCCATTAGGGGTGTTAGCTTGGAGCAGCTAGAGGTGGGCTAAGGAGAAGTGAGTCATTCTATGTGATTGGTTAGGGAACATATTTGACTTTCTCTGCTTAATCCTGGGTTGGCAAACAACAGGGAATACATGAGTTATTGCCTAAGTTCTGATCATTATGATCAGTGCTGTAGTTTGGGGTTTGAGTTCTGGCTACTACAGAGGTGGTGGGTCACAGTGTTATTGTCATAGCTGGCCTATCCTTTGTCCACTTTTCCCTCAACCTTTTAGATGCACCATGGAGTTCAGTAGTCCTTAACAAACGCCTGAAGAATTGCAAGTCAAATAGTCTTTGCATTAGTCAGTTTTGCATTACTACAACAAAATACCTGAGGCAGCTAAGTTATAAAGAGAAAGGATTTAGTTTATAGTTTGGAAGGTTCAGAGACCAAGATCAGATGGGTTCCATTGGTTTGGATCCTAGTAAGAGTGGCAGATGGCAGTACATCACGGCAGGACCACACATGGGAGGAAATGGTCATATCTTGAACAAGAGTAGAGAGAGAAGAATGTGGTCCCATTTCCCCATCAAGGACACAGTCTCCATGACCTAATGAGCTCTCATTAGGCCCCACCTCTTAAAGGCCCACAGCACCTCCCAATACTGCTGCTCTAGAGCCCAAGTCTTTATCTATGGATCTTTGGAGGAACTCAACATCCAAACCATACTGAGCCTCTTGGGGTCCCTCTGGTGGCCCTGACAAACCCTGCTTTCCCATCTGCCTCAGCAGCTCCACCTCTTGCCCTCAGGGGGGTGGGGACCAGCATCCTTCTCGGCCATCACTCTACCTGACCTTTATAGCCTCTCTGTCTGATGCTTTTCCATCCTAAAGGACCCGCTGCCGTGGTCTGTCTGCCCGCTGAATGGGAACCACACGGGCTACGAGGAGGAGTGTGAGAAGGCTTCCTCGACGCAGTACTTCTGGTACAGGAAGACCCTCAACATCTCCCCGTCCATCCAGGAGACCGGGGGTGTGCAGTGGGAGCCGGCGCTGTGCCTCATCCTGGCCTGGCTGATGGTGTATCTGTGCATCCTGCGGGGCACCGAGTCGACGGGCAAGGTGGGCCAGGGCCCCTGGAGGGTGCAGTGCTCCCTGAGGTGGGTGGGTGCAGGAGCAGCTGCCTGTCCCCAGCCTTGGGCCAGGCCAGGAGTTGCTTCTGCGGTGCTGGGTAGGAGCTGGCTGGGGCCGAGGACACCCACAGTGTGGCCGGAACAGACCATCAACTAGGTCCCAGTAAAGGTGGTCAGGGGTGGTGGGAGGTACGGCGTCAAATCTCAAAATGAGGGCTCATTCACTGCTTTGTGAAAAATGAGGGGGAGTGCGGTGGCGCACGCCTGTAATCCCAGTGGCTCCGGAGGCTGAGGCAGGAGGATCACCATCAGCTGGTAGTCTGAAAGTTTGCTGGGGTGCCGCAGTCTGGCTGGGCACAATTCAGGAGTCACTTGTCAAAAGAAACAAACTTTTTTTTTTTTTTAATCACACATGCCAAACAAAACAGCTCCTCCTCAGGAAAACCTTCAGAGCCCAACTGCCACCACCGGCTTCCCACAAGCCTCTCAACCTCCCACAATCCTCCTGCTCTTGAGGCCGATTGGCTGGGTCGCGTGGGCGGAGCCAAAACAAAGTCCCCCAATGAGCAGCTCCATGGTCTGAAAGGGCGGGGAAACAGCCCAATGAGCATCACCATAGAGGAGCCAATCAGCTAGAAGTTGGGGCCACTGTGAGCCAATCATCAGCTGGCAGTCTGAAAGTTTGCTGGGGCCCCTTTGGCTGTGGCTCTCAACATCTCCCCCTCTCTGTTTAAACAACAAGCATGTGGCTTGGGGACCGTGCCTGCCTTAGGTTGTCCAGTACTACATATGGTCCTTACCCGTTATCGGATGAGCTGACCTCAAGGCATCAGCCTCCTGTCTTAGGTTGGTACCATTGTAATTGGATCTTACCCGTCATTGACTACCAGTCCAGTATACAGCCACACCTGTGGATAGGTCTTTGTACCAGCAGGGGGGGGTTGAGGTTCTTTGCCTCACCTCTGTTGGCCCCCAAATTTTAGTTGAACGATCATGACAAGCAGAAGGGAGGAAGATATACCAAGCCAATTGACGGCTCCTTTTGGAAAAATTGTACCACTGATGACATCATCAGCAAAAATACCCCAACACTACCACAAGTCACTGCTCCAACAGATAGTTCACAATGCATACAGGAGAGTTCACAATGCATACAAGTGATACATAGTCCAGGCAAGTTCTGCAAGCAGTTCAGTGATGGCTATTGCAGAAGCTGTAGATTGGTTTTATCTTTGTCTTCACTGGCACTGGGATGAARATAGGAATTCTGGCAATAATGGCTAAAGAAAAAATTATGTAACATTCCAGAAGGCACTAAAAGAAAACAATTTTCTTAACAATTTACATTATCTTGAAGAGAATTATTAAATATAATGAAAAGGAAAGGTGAAAGTAAACAAACAGATCTGTTAACCTCCTTTTTTGTTCACATATTAAAACAATCCTCAACAGCTGTTTACCCAATTTAAATTAAACCATTTAAATCACGTGAATAAAAAAAAAAAAACAGAACAGTCAGGGCATATGTTGATACAATACAAAAATGTAGCCCATGGATTTTTAAGGAGGAGTTGTTAAATATATCACAGTGGGACCATCATGGTGAAGATTTAAAAAGAATAGAAAAGAAAAGCCCAGGAACTCTGCCAGTTGGCACATTGTTATTGTGGACGTTGGTATCTTGTTTGCTTAGTCCAAAGCCATCAGGGGGAAAGTTACAACAGGAGACTGCTACTAACACCTTTCTATCGCCAGAGGACATAAGTGTCCAACTAACAAGGCCACCTCCATATGCTGGGAGGCTCCCAACCCCCGCAGTTGATCAGTTGGGATCCTGAGACAGGATCTCAAATATTAACATGCCCTGTATTTGAGGCTGGAGGGCAGCGAGTTCACCATGCTTTAAATTTCAAAACAGTGAAGCAGCTAAAAGAGGCTGTAACAACCTATGGTCCTCAAGCACCCTTCACTGTAAGCTTGGTCGAATCCATTAACAACTTGAACATGACGCCAGCAGATTGGGTTAATATGTGTAAAGCTGTGCTAAATGGAGGTCAATACCTGTTATGGAAGGTTGTCAATGAGGAATTTTTCAAGGAGACGGCTAGGCGAAATGCAGCAGCTGGTTATCCTCAGAGAAATCTAGATATGTTGTTAGGAAAGGGACCTTATGAGGATCAGCAGCAACAAATTGCACATGATCCTGGCGTATACTCACAAATTGCTGCAGATGCGGTTAGGGCATGGAAGACTTTACAAGGACATGGAGGTTTACAAGGTCAATTAYCTAAGATAATACAAGGAGCTAATGAATCTTATGCTGAATTTGTAGATAGGCTTATTCAAACAGTTACCAGAGTTTTGGGGAATACAGAACAAGCAATGCCATTAATAAAACAACTGGCTTATGACCAAGCGAATCGTTGGTGCAGATAAATCAGTAGACCATGGAAACATGAAGATTTAAACACATATATTAAATTATGTAGACATTAATGAACAAGAGCAAGTCGTGGCAGCTGCAGTAAAACAGGCTTTAGATGCCAGAGACATTAATGAACAAGGGCAAATTGTGGCAGCTGCAGTAAAACAGGCTTTAGATGCCAGGCCAAGAACATGCTACAATTGTGAACAAACAGGACATTTTAAAAGGAATTGCCCCATAGGAGGAGGGTTTAACAAAACTAGGTATCAAAGGAGTAGAATACCGGGT